CAGATATTACATCCTGTTAAAATCTGTCCAAAAAAAGTAATTCCAAGCCTAAGGTCCACACTTGTCCACTTCAGAAACAGCAAAATTCTAACAACAAAGATATTTTAATGGTTTTAGAATTCTGAGCTGCATGGTCATTACAGTTGATAGAATTTAAATTCATATTACAGCTTTGTTTTTAAGATCATGACACTCAAACTTTCATGATGTACTTGTTATTAAAGGTCAGTGAGTATGGTTTATGAAAAACAAGAACCCCAACAGGTCCCTTGCACATGGACCACCTTCCTTCTTAAGGCATTGTCTGTGCACTCGGGGACAGAGCTCTGGGGCAATGGGCCCGCCAGCACTGTCCCTCCTACCCATATCCCTTATATTCTGCCAAGCCTGAAGCTCAGTGGGCCAGAGGATGATAAAGTAAATATAGGAAATACCAAATTCTAAATGCTCAAAAGGCTCTGCAACATCAGGCCTGGCCACAAGAGAATACTGAAAAACAGAATCACAATGTGTGAGGGGATTCTTAAATTTTTTAAATGATAAATATGATTATGTAAATACATGAAAACATACATTAATAGTGCTGATTAAAAACACAAAATAACTTTACTGATTAATATGCAAAAATATACGCATATCTCATTAAATTTGGATTCCACACATTTTAGGAAATGCTGTTCTAGATCAGTTCTCAACCACGGGTGAATTTGTCTCTCAAGGGGCATTTGGCATTATTTGAAGACATTTTTGATTGTCATACTGGGGGTAGGGGGTTCCCACTGGCATCAACAGGGTAGAGACCAGGAATGCTGCTAAAAGCTTACAATGCACAGGACAGCCTCCACAACACAGGAATGTCCTGCCCCAGATGTCAACAGAACTATGGTTGTGAACATACCCCAGAAGATCACAGGAGTATTTACACTTATGCTGCAATGAACTCTGCTGAAATAAATGTGTTTTTTAAAAAGCATGCATAAATATATAACTGAATTTAGAAAAATATAAACTAAATTCCTAATTTTTTTGCCAAAAAATACAAACCTTGATCTAGTGTCTCAGGCAACATATACTGAGAGCTTGCTCAGCTCTCATTAAGACATCATTTTTGCAAATGTCTGATCAGACTCTTCTGAACCTGCAATCACAGTACCTCCCAGTCCAGTCCTTCTGAGTCCCCCACTGTGCAGATGGCATGAGCTCACCCTCCCTGGGGACATGGTGGGGTACCAGGCTGCTTCTAGACCATGGGCCAGAGTCTCAGAGGTGGGCTGAAGGGAAAGCACTTTCACCAACTCTCTAGGGTTTGCACTGGAAAACAGGAAGATGAGGCGGGTAGAGCTGGGGTCAAGCTGTGGGGAAGAGAGGAACTGAACTGACAGTGGAGAGAACAGCAGACAGTGGAGAGAACAGTCTAACTGAATGGGGAGGCCAAGATGCCAGGTGGGCAGCTGGATCCTGCCAGAGCCCAAATGGAAGCACCATTGATCCCACCAGGTTCTTATTTTCCTTATTCCTGTGATTCTAAACCCTGGGCTTGAAGTCAGGCATCCTGAGACATAACTAAAGCCTACCCATCCTGTAGCCATCAGTCACAGGGACAAACAGTAAAAGCTGCACTTCCTGCAAACATGCCCTACAGCCTCGCTCGCATACAGCTTCACCAGCTAGAGGCTGCACCAAACAACTCACACTTTTCAAGTGATGGGTTCACCCTAAGCAGAAATAATCTTGCCTGACAGGAACACCAACAATCCAGTCTAGCAGCTTACCCTAAGGGGAGGGAAGGCAGGGCTTGACGGCTGGACCTGTCAAGATGACTACATTCTATCATTTAAAGGACTCAAAACAATGAAATGAGTCCAGAATTTTTACTCCCACACCCTCAGTTTCACAACATGGTAGATTAGTAGTTTTCAAGATTTTGTAAAAGCTTAGAACCTCCCCCCAAAAAATCATAGAATTACGAAGCTGCTATCTCCTCTCCAGGTCCCTCCAGATGTGTCCAAAGAACCACAGCGCTGCTGAGCCACAGGAGTTCAAAACCAACTTATCAGACAGCACACCTGCTGTGGTATCCTAAAGGTTTGAGTAACTTTCCAGAAACAGTAACTACACTGGCGGGACTGACACACTGAAACATGGGCAGCACTGCCCAAGGGCACTCTGGTGGGCAGGACAACATGGTGGGTGCGGCCTCACTGGACAGCCTTTGCAGCCAGGCGGCCTTTCCACTAAATGCTTCCCAGCCCTTCATGTTTATTCTAATTTCATTAAGAACTTTTCTACATTTCCACCTTGTATATCTTCTTCAACAGTTTTTACTAGAATGGTGACTTAACCAGTTGTGAGTTGACAAAACTGGTGTTCAGTCTCCCAGGTGGCTGTTGCTAGGATGACCCCACAATAACACCAGCCCACTAAGCTTGAGTTCCCTCATCTGCACTGTTTTTATTTCCCCATCAGTACCTTTGCCATCAGTACAACCATTAGATGAAGTAAAAAAGGGCACATACATATTCCTACTAATGGATGGGCTGAGAGTAGACAGACTTCTAGTGCAGATTCTTGGTCTCTGTGAACCCAAATGAGAAAAAGTATCACATCTTTACTTGCAATCACTTCCAGCTGAAATTTAGCACTCATTCAATTATGAAGGCAGACATTAAATTCTGAGTTTCAGCAGTCCCTCTTTTTCACCAATAGAAACCCCAGAGATTTTTACAAAGCACTAGAGTTTCTAAAGAAATCTCAAAACTGTCAGTTATGTTTATCACTACTCCAAAAGGAATCCCTAGTGCTGCGTAAAATCTGTTACTGAGCTAATAAAGGGGCATGTACACAACTTGATCACTAACTTGGTTCAATATTTTTCTAATTGTATTTCAATATAATGGGTTCTCTTCCTGGTCCTATCTTATCTAAATGGCCTCTTTGAATCTAGAGGCAGGCTGAGCACATAAAGGTCCCAGGGGCATATGCTTTATTATCCTGGCAGTTTCAGAGTTTGCTTCCAAACAGTTTCAAATAGTTCAAAAATTGGCAACAAAAGTGAAAATTATAACTAGAATATTACTTTCATATCCAGTACCTATTTCTATCATTCATATGCAGTACTTCTGAAGTTACAACACACTGACACAGAAATGTAAATACATGTAAACTAAAGGACAGGAATCCAATACATGGCAGTTGTACACAGTATCATTAACCAAGCAACCTGCTGACACTTAAATCATAAGCAAAGAACTGTAATTTTCAAGTAATAGTCACTGAACATATTTCATCTATTCTAATTCCTACTTTCAAATCTCTCAAGTAGGAAGCATCCTTCCACCGCGGTGGTAAGAAAACACTGGCACATAACATGGTAATGGGTTTTACACGATGGCAGGCTGTAGAGTCAATGAAATACTGTAACTAGATGACCCACGCTCTGCAAGTTAAGGAAAAAGTGATGAGAGGCACGCTGGAGTCTGTGCCATCTTCCAAACTAATGCGACCACAACTACATTCCAGTGTGCCACCAAGAGCTGCACTGCCGCACACGTCTACATTTCACCTCAATGCTTCCTTATAATATATAGAATATGCCATATACAGTGCTTAATTTATTGGAGTATGATGTGCTATATAAATTAATAAAATACTAAGTATACCAAAGTCATAAAGTTACATCTAGCTAAAGCTAAGGTTTTGTTCACCCTCAAGTGGAAGGTACTCACTTCCTAAAGAAAAGCCAGCAGCTAATCTTTCCTTCTAAGTCACCGCCTCCTCACACGCCACCCTGGGGGGCTGCCTCTGCGATCGCCCCACGTGGGCAGCTGCTCCGCACGGGGACACCCCCGCCACACGCCCCCTGCCCAGCGACCGACCCGCCCTCACTGCGCGTGCTTGTAAACTAGGCGTCCAGCGCGCGGAGGGAACCTAACTTGTTAATTTCAGTACCACGAACGCCCCTGGGCATTCCAAGAGCCACAGGGATGACAGAAAGCAGACTCAACTTTTCCTAATTCTCCCTAAGTGACTCACGATTCCTAAGGAATGCGAAACCCAGCGAGCGGCCCGACCTGCCCAGCGCTCGCAGTCATCGGGCTTATTATAGGCGCTGGAGTGGTGACCGGTCCCCAGGCCGGGCACCAGGGCCTCGGCCGGCCGACACACTCTGGCCCCGCCCAAGTTCGCCCGGGAACCCGCAACCCTTAAGACGCCCGCGGCCCTGCAGGGCCGGCGGCGCCCCTCACACGCCACACGGGCCTCTCCTCCCGACCTCACGCGGCGGTCCCGGCCCGACTCCCCTCACGAACTGCATGGGGTTCTCACGGCCGGCGTACCCACTCCTGGGCCGCCTCCCCTCAGGACCCGCACGAGGCCCTCCCGGCCCGGGTCCCCTCACGACCCGCACAGGGACCCCCGGCCCGCGCTCCCTTCGTGGCCCGCGCACACTCTCACGACCTAACCAGGCCCTCCCGGCCCGGCTCCGCTCACCACCCGCACCGGCCCCTAACGCCCAGCAGGACCCCTCACTGCCCTCACCAGGCCGCCATCTTCCCACCCCACCCCCCGCAGCCCCGCCCCGCGCGCCCCCGTTCTGCCCCGCCCCGCCCGAGCTGGGTCGCGCGCCGCGCTCCGAGAGGGACGCTTAGAAGTGCGCGCCTCGCAGCGGGCCCCACACGACCGTGGCAGCGGCAGTCGCGGCGCCGCCTTCCAGAAATTTCCACGTCCCTAAACCCACACTGAAAACAGGCTGGGCGCGCACCCGCGTCGACCCCGTGGATTGCGCCCCTCCCGCGGCCTCAGCTCCCCTCCCCCACACTCGCCCCCTCCCCGCCCCCTGCCCTGGGCGGCAGGTCCGGCGCGGCCCTCCCAGGCCGCTGCGGCCCGCGGGGACCAGAGCGGCGGCAGCAGGGCGTCGGCCGCGGCGCCAGCGGGCCAGCGTGATTGATAGGGACGGGGCGGCGGAGCGGCGGCGGCGGCGGAGCGGTTGAGTGACAGCTTACCTGGGTGCCAATCTTCATCACACTGACAAGCGGCTGCAGCAATCGGGACCCGCAGTGCCGCGCCCGCGTCCAACCGTCACGCCGACGCTAGGCCACGCGACACAGCCTCGCTCAATGGGAGGAGGGCGACGCCAACGCGCGCCGCATCAATATTCAGGAAGGGGGCGGGGGCTGCGGAGCCCGGGCCCCGCCCCGCCCCTGCGCCACACCGCGCGGGGCGGGGCCTGGACTCCGGGGGCGGAGAGCGAGGCGGGGGCGGGCGGCCCGGGCCCCGCCCCAGTCGGCCGCTCCCGGGCGCGAGAAACTGCCCGCCCCGCCCTCGGGTCGAAATTCCCGCCTCTAGACCGTGCAGCAGGGGGCGTGGCCTAGGCGCGCTCCACGCCTTCTCCGCTGGCTCCGTGAAGCCGGCGAGATAGTGGAGTAGCCGCGGGTGGGCGGAACCATCGCCGTGGTCCGGCGGGGAGGGCGGGCTGTACCATCCGCGGGGGCGCCGCCAGCCCTCTCGGGCTACCTTCCGAGGCCGGGACGCGTCGGCGCCGCGCCACATTCTCTACCCGCATGGCGCCGCCGCCTTCCCGGGGCACAGGCAGCCGTTCAGCGGGTGCAAACGTGCGCCGGGCCCGGCGGGAATGCCCCGGTCCCGCCTGATCCCGGGCACTGCCCGCCGGGCGAGGGCTCCAGCCACCGCCGCAGGCTCGCCCCTGTTCCCGCCTCTGCCTTCAGCACACCTGTCGCCAGGTGACCCTCACAGGGCCTCTCTGCAGGTGAAGTGGCCCCTTACGCGTACACGGAGTGTGGTCTGTTTCAGATTGTTGCTGCCTGCGCCTCGCTTTCCAAGACATTCAGGGAAGGCAGCGCTTTCCTAGCAGTAGGCCCTGGGTTCGTCCACTGGCCATTCATTTCTGCAGAGACATTTCCACCGAGTGGGATCGCTGTATAGAGTACATACGTGGTTGCCCCAGGAAGACGCGGGTGCCGGACAGGGTGCCCGGGGCAGGTCCAGTCATGAACAGCCCAAAATTATACCCCAAATTATTATTTCAAAATAATTTAATGTCACTTTGGGGATTACTCCTAGTACTTCATTCCTTGCTAGCTTTGATGAAATGCGCTACTATGACATGAGTTCCTCTATGGAGAGAATCAAGTGGTGAGAAACTGAAGGTGAGCTCCAGCCAACAGCCAGCAAGCCATTCAGTTAGTTTTCTCTGCATTTTGTTGGCGGTTGTCTGTGCTGTGCAGAAGTTTGATGTAGTTTCACTTGTTTATTTTTGCTTTTGTTGCCTTTCCTTCTGGAGTCAAATCCAAAAATTCACCATCAAACTACAATATGGTGTCCTGAACTGGATACTGGAACAGAAAAAAGGACGGTAGTGGAAAAACTGGAGAAAGCCAATAGAGTCTTCAGTTTAGCTAATGGTATTGTATTGATGTTAATTTCTGAGTTTTGGTAAATGTACCATGGTTGTATAAGATGTAATACTGAAGGAAGACAGATGAAGGGTATATGGGAACACTCTACTCTCTTTGCAACTCATCTATAAATCTAAAATTATTTCAAAATAAAAAGTTAAAAAATAAAAGGAAAAGAAAAAGATCAGTCGTAGCTTACTGCCTATGTTTTCTTCTAAGAGTTTTATGGTTTCAGGTCTTACATTCAAATCTTTAATCCATTGTGAGTTATTTTTTGTGTTTCATATAAGACAGTGGTCTAGTTTCATTCTTTTGCACCTGTCTGTCCAGTTTTTCCAACATTAGTCACTGAAGAAACCATTCCACATTGTATAGTCTCACCTTTGTTGTGAAATGATCACATATGTGTGGGTTTATTTCTGGGGTATTCTGTTCCATTGATCCATGTGTATGTAGGTCTTTATGTTAATGCCATACCATTTTGATTACTATAGCTTTATAATACAGTTTGAAATCAGGAACATGGTACTTCTGGATTTGTTCTTCAAGATTGCTTTGGCTCTTCAGGATCTTTTCTGCTTTCATACAAATTTTAGGATTGTGCTATTTCTATGAAAAACGTCATTAGAATTTTGATAGAGATTGCATGGAACCTATATATTGCTTTGGGTAGTAGGGACATCTTAACAATATCAATTCTTCCAACCTGAGAGCATAGAATCTTTCCATTTCTTTGTGTCTTCTCCAATTTCTTTCATCAATGTTTTGGAGTTTTCAGTGTGGATTTCCTTCCTTTTTAAGGCTGAACAGTATTCCGTTGCCTGGATATACTACATTTTGCTTATCCATTCATACATTGATAGACACTTGGGTTACTTTCACCCCTTGACTATTGTTAATAATGCTGCTATGAAAATGGATGTATGAATATCTGTTTGAGTCGTTGCTTTCAGTTATTTTGGGTATACACAGAAGTGGGATTGCTAGGTCATATTATAATTCTATTTTTAATTTTTTGAGGTACTGCCAGACTGTTTTCCACAGCGGTGTACCGTTTTACATTGCCACAAGCATTGCATGAGGGTTCCAATTTCTCCACATCCTCGTCAACACTTGTAATTTTGTTTTTGATAATACCCATTCTATCTGGTATGAGATAATATGAATGATATTTTTTAAGACCCTTGGTCCCAAATTTCTTCAGCTATCTCTCTTTCCCTTCCTACCTTCTGAAATAAGAGGTTAAATTTATGAAATAAGCAATTTCCTAACTATGAGGAATTGAGAACTTTAGACTTAAGTTCCCCACAGTGATTGGAATGAGCCTTCTAAGCCACCCTGTGCTCTCCCAACCAGAGAATGCTGTCATGCTTCACACCTAGTTTGGGTTCGTGAAAGCATATGGTATTAGAAATTAAAACCAATAAATTGTTTTAAAATATTTTTATTACAATAAGAAACCTATTCCATGTTATTCTGATAACACAAATAACATATTATATGAAAAATAATTTTTAAAAAATTATTACCAAGAAGAGTGTCACTGTTTCACATTTTTGCAAATCTCTTTAATGTCTAGCTTAGTAGAAGATACCTGGATTCTCATATCTGCTTCTGCATCAGTCTCTTGTGATATATTGCTTTTCTTAGTGTGTGTGGAAAAAACTGGCTTTGCAAAGATGTGTAGTGAGAAGATGGAGGAATATTTATACAGATACTACGCCACCCAAACCAACCATGTAGGTGTTTCTTAAAGGTCCATAGCAATGTGGACTCTGACACACCATCAGCGAACTTTTCATGCTATTGGACTGAGAGCTATTGGTCTCTCTGGTGCTTTGAATGGATATGTTAACCACACATTGTATAACATGGCCATTTGGTCATTCGGAAAAATATTAATGCTAAAAGTTTTGTAAGTATCCCAAATATTGATGTACTTCACTAGATAATATTTAAAAAATCACAGCTATTAGTATTACCATTAGAAAAATTTCTAAATATTGGGACATCATCAAGTTCACAGTGACAGATACAAGTTTTCCAGAATTCTAATTTTCACTCAGTTCAAATTTTACCATTAATGGCAATACTGTTCATTAGCTCCCTTGAAGTGACAAGATTGGTTTGTTCCTTTTTCAGAAAACAGCTGCCAAACACACAACTCTGAATAACTGAATGTTTGTCACTCGTCAAGTAAAAATTATGTTCCATGAAAAAGACAGCAGCCACATCAGCTCAGTCACACAAGTGCTCTTCTTCCAGGCAACCACCATGCTTGGGTCCGAGCAGCAGGACTGTATGTGTACTTCCCATTTCCTTGCACAGAATATTAAAATGCTGTACATTCAATGGTCAGGACTTAATAAAATCAATATATTCATAAATTCTGCTTCGTCGAGGACATTCTTCATGGAACTGTCCCTTTTTTATGGCAAGTGCATGGCAAACGGCACAGTGACAGGCAGTAGAATCTGGTACCATTGCCTTGATCTGTGCAAAAGAGACCACGCTTTACCCACCAGTGCTTTTCTGCCCTCACTGCAAATGTCACTGTGGGAAAGGTCAGCAGCACCTTTGTATTATTGTAGACATTGTCTTGACCATACAGGCTCCCCGAGTGGGTCTTGAGGGGGTACTCAGGACCCATGCATGGACCACATTTTGAGTCATTGGTTCGATTAATTGGTTAGACTTGCTAGTTAGAACAAAAGAATGATGTTCTTTGAATCAATTTCTAATTATTTATTCAGCAAGATCTCTTTTCAGAGTTTTCATCCGCTCCCTTACTTCTCACTTGCTTACTAATTTGTAATTGAGCCCCCACCAAGTGTAAGGTCCTGTGCTGCGTGTTACATGGTAAGTTCAGCTTTGCCCCTCTTCTGATTGGAGTTCAGCTTTACACATTCCTCCAGGGCTCTCACATACCCCACGCCAGGAACTTGACAAATAGTGTAATATAGTGTATGCTCCAGTAATTCCCAAATTACTCAATTCTGTGACCTGATAAAAGCCAATCATCAAAGAGATCACTTCTTGATGAAGTCAACCAACAGTCAAAACATGACACCCAACAGCAGACAGAGCGGCAGGACAGGGCATACCAGCAGGTGGATCAAAGACTTTAAAAGGATTTAAGCATTTCTCTCCTGAGGAACTAAACCTCAAATCGATAACAGAAAGATAATTGGAAAATCCCCAAGTATTTGGAAACTATATAACATGCTTGTGGTGAAATACATGTAAGTTTGCAAGCCTGCAGGTCAGTGACCTCCAGCTCACTCCCATCGTGGTGTTGCCGTGGTGCGTTCACCCACAGGGCTGTGGGTAAAATTGCAATTTCCAGACTCTCGCCTGGCCTTAGTTCATCTCCATATCAACAGGTGTTTCCAAGGGGTGGAGAGAAGTAGCCATCTCCATATCGATGGGTAATCATGAGGGTGAGCAAGGGCTTATCAGGACTGGAGAGGGTGGGGGGCAGATTCACTCACTTCTGCCACAGCAGGAGATAGACGCGGGACGACGGTTTGTAAGCAATAAACGAGTTTTAAACTTCATTTCTCCTAATGACTGATTTTGGTTTCAAAGGTAGTTTGCCCCGGGATTTCCCCTCCCCAGAGTTACAGAGCTGTTTCGTCTTAAAAAGCTGGGGCTCTGTGCCCGTTAACAGGCACGCCCCCGGCCCCGCCAGCCCCTGG